TGAGGTAGGGGCTAAACTCCAGGTGCCAGTAGCCCCTTAGAAAGATACCAACAAAGGGCACTGACAGGCAGCCTGCATGCTCAGAAAACAAGCTATACTTGGAGGGTGGCAAAGGTGTGCAAATGTTCTTGCCTTGTATGTTGAGATCACAATAACACTCTAAATTTAGATGATAAAATATATGTTAGGAAAGTATTTATGCTAGAAAGCTAAAGATTCATCTCAGCATACATCTTTTTTGCTCACAAAGGTAAAGATTTAGAATGAACAACTTCCCAACAAAAGAAAAATAAATAGAACAAATAATGATCCATCAATGCAGCAGAACACAGAAAGGGAAACCAGAAAGTATTGAAAAACATACAATAAAATGACACTAGTAAGTCTAAACATATCAGTAATAACAGCAGCATTAATTGATTATTAAGCTTTCCTAAGAAAATACAGAGGTATTCAGGAAGGTAAGTAGAGTCTAGCTATGGGTTGTATTCAAGAGACACACCTAAAAATGTGACCAAAAATATACAACGTAAAGGGATGGATAAACTATATCAGATAAACAATAACAGAAAGGCAAGAGTAGCAATAATAACATCATACCACAATGTAAAACATATGTGGCAAACACTGATTGCTTTAATGGTAGAAAGCCAGTCAAGAGTATGTCCGCTATAAATATGTAACCAACAACACATAAATAAAGCAAAAATAAACATAAAAAATAGACACATCCACAATTATGGTGGGAAACTTATGACATGTTTCAAGAAGTGACAAAATAAAGAAAGGAAAAATTAAGTAAGACTATAGAGAACTTGACTAACACAATTAACAAGATTTATCTTTTAGGTCTAAATAGAATTTTAAACCAATATATAAGGAATACTTTTTTCAGATGCATAGAACATAAAAAACTGAATTAGGCTACATATAAAATTGCAGTAAGTTCTTAAAAGTATATTTCCTATAGACTCATAACTGACTAAAACACAATGCTATATTAATAACAAAAAGATAATTAGGCAAGAGAATATGCACAAGAGAAAAAGATGAGAATTTTTAATGGCCAAAGAATAAATAAGGATGAGAAACTACATATCAACCCTTGAGATAATAAGAATAAAAGAAAATTTAGGGAGGGCGGGGAGCTAGGGAGAGATAGCAAGGGGAGAAATGCCAGATGTAGGTGATGGGGAGAAAGGCAGCAAATCACACTGCCACGTGTGTTCCTATGCAACAATTTTGCATGTTCTTCACATGTACCCCAAAACCTAAAATGCAATAAAATAAATGGGAAAAAAATAAAAATTAAAAAAAAAATAAAAAAAAAGAAAATTTAGTAAACACAGAACAAATACAAATCACTCTATTTATTCAATTAAAAAAATACATTTTGTAAAGCCTAATAAAATAGTCATAACTGACACACCTGATCAAGACAAAAAAGGTGGTAAACAACCTACTTTATTGCTGTTTTGGTAGAATGTGCCCAAGAGTTCTTATCATTAAAATATGGAAAACATCTCTACAATGGTAAGGATTCCTCAGAGAAATAAAACTAATAGGATATATAGTATTCACATGAAATTGATTCATGAGACTGTGGAGGGTTGGCAAAACTAAAGTATGCAGTATAGGCTGGCAGGGAAGATTTGTTTTGGTGTGAGTCCAAAAGAAGTCTGCTGGCAGCCTTTCTTCTTCTTGGGGATGTCAGTCTTTTACTATTAAACTTCCAACTAACTGAATGGGGCTCACCTACATTATGAATGATAATCAGATTTATTCAGTTAACTGATTTACATATTAGTTTCATCTTTAAAATACCTCCACAAAAAATCTAGAATAATGTCTGATCAAATATCTGGTTTTCTTGACCTACCTAAATTGACACATAAAATAACCCATTATAAATTTACCCCATGTCAACCTGGCACCCATACGCAGCTCCTTAAACCATACTTACTTTCCAAATAAAGACAATAACAAGGTCATGCTTCCACCTAAAATGATACAACTATGTACAACTGAAAATGCACTGGCCCTTTCCCCAGAATTGGATGCAAATGTTTAGGTTATGTTTACTTTTCTCCTTGATATCCTTTGTTCTCTCCTTGACAACAAATGCTATGATGTAAAGTTAACAGCATTTTTATACTATGACATCAAGTCAACAAATCTTATGTTGCATGAGAAGAGAATAAGGAAAGGAAGAAAACAGATATTTGCAAGCACACACACATAAGCACACACAGAGTCACAAACACAAGCATAACAAAATAGAAAGGAACAAAATAACAAAATGAGGAAGAAATACACTTGACAATTACAATGCTCATTTCTGTAACTGGTCGTGTTTATGTAGCTCATATTTATAACTACCTTCTTCTACTACCCATTCTGTATTCCCTTTGCCCTTAGCTGTGCATGTGTTTTACCTGGTGGGTTAACCCATAAGGATCTGGGCCATTATTAGTCCTGCCTGGATGGGGTTGTGAATTCCCATTAACTTTAATAACAGAGTTTGGTAATACTAAGAGATATCTTAAGGAGTCTCCTGTATTTCAGACATATTCTTTCTTACCTGTATTGTTGAGTAGCCGTCCAATTTCCCCTTTGTAGTCTGGATCAGTCAACCCAGCCAGCATAGTAACTTCCCTGTTTGCCTGTAGATTCAGTGGCAGTCTTAACTTGAAGTTCAGTATAATCATCGTTGTGTCCCCTGGTGAAACCATTCCTTCCTTTGGAGCAAAGACTTTTAGGACAACAGAGCAAACATTTAGCTAGTGAGTTGCTAGGGAATGTATGGCCTTCCAGAGAGCCTTGCTCCAGCCCTTCAAGATATTGCTATCCATCTGGAACTGTGATGGAATCTTCAAAATGACATTCCACTGTTCTACCAAATAAGCAGCTTCAAGATGATGGGCAATATAGTAAGAGCAGTAAAATCGATGACCAAGGGCCCATTGCTGCACTTCTTTCACTCTGAAGTGAGTTCTCGTTCAGAAGCAATGCTGTGCAGAATGTCATGATGGTGGATAGACATTCTGTGAGTTCATAGATGATAGTTTGGCAGAAGCACTACATATAGGAAATGCAAATTTGTATCCAGAGCAAGTATCTATTCCGTTGATAACAAAATGCTCCCCTTTCAATGATGAAAATGGTCCATTATAATCAACTTGCCACCAGGTATCTGACTGGTCACCCTGGGAATGCTGCCATATTGGGGACTCAAGTGTTGATCTCTACCACAGGTAGATTGGGTACTCAGCAACTGTAGCCGCTCAGCCTTGGTGAGTGGAAGTCCATGCTGCTGAGCCCATGTATCCTCCATCCCTGACCCCATCCTGGCACCTCCATCCCTGACACCATGGCCACTTTGTCCATCAGCCTATTGGGTGATGATAGGGGGAAAGAGACTGGCTTGTATCTACAGAATACATCATCCTACCCAATTGATTATTTGATTTCTCCTCTGCTGAGGGCAGACTTTTTGAGCATTCATATGCTCAAAAGTCATATGAGGGACAGAAATACCTAATATATTTGTCTGTTCTGAGAGATCTGTTCTCTGACCTCTTCCCATGACTTCCTTGTCACCAATTTTCCAATGTAATCCTTTCAGTTCCCGAATTATCCTTTCTATTGGCCACAGCCTATGAATTGGCATATAATCTCACATTTGGTAATTTCTCCTTCTTAAGCAAATGGAACAACAGGTACACCGCTCAAAATTGTGCCCACTGGGTGGATTTCCCTTCACCATGTCCTTCAGGAACATCCTAGAAAGGGGCTACAGTGCTGCAGCTGTCCACTTCTTGGAAGTATCTGTGTATCATGAAAGACCATTTTTAAATTAGGCCTGAAACTTTTTATGTTTTGTCAGCTGATTATAGGGAAACCTTCATGAGGCCATAGGTGCTGGCTGGGAGAGTGGAGGTGGTGTAGCAAGAGTGAAGACTGTGGATGTTCATGGCACTTTTTCATGTCATTTATGCTTGCCTTCAGATCCTGATGAAGCCCAATCTTGAATATAACACCACTCCCATTCGATGACAGAATGTGGCTGTGCATGCCCAACCTTATAGCATGTAAGAGATACACCTGAAAATAGGAGCCAGAAAAGATAAAGAGATGGATAAAACATATCATGAGTCTGACAGGAAGAAAAGCAATTGTAGCAATAACATCAGAAAATGTAAAATTCAATGTCAAATACATTATATGGGACACAAATTTAGGTTTCCCAATTCAGTGATAGCAGCTCCCACTATAAGTTTTTGCCTAGTCAGAGAGCGACCCAGAACAATTCAAGGTTGATAGGGCTTTCTTCACAAATTTATTTCTCACAAATATGGAAAAAAAGCATTCCAGGGTGGATGAGCAGATCTGAAATGACAAATTCATTTCAACTTTCCTTTCTCCATAAGCTTATCGATTCCTTCCTCTGGAGTAATCAGGGTAGTTCTGGCATTTCAAGTTCTTTTTCTATGGGCAACCTTTTCGGTCCATGTTTCAGCCATCCAAGCAAATAAATGAGCTTATTCTGACTCCTTAAGCTGCAATATTCAATGAAGAATCTCTGCCTAGTGAGCCCATATCAATAAATTTGATCTGATCCAATCTTATGTTCTATCACCATTATCCCACATCCTTAGTGATCATTCCCACACATATTTCCCAGATTTGGCTGTATAAATTGGAAAAATCAGGTAGTCCTTTTGGAGTATAGTATACCTCTTCATGGGTCACACCTTTTGCCTTACCTTCCAGGGCCTGCTAGGACTTAAGTGTAGTTTAAGTTCAGAAGCAAAGAGGAATGGTGGGATTGTGTATTAGTTTGTTCTCACAATGCTATAAAGATACTACTTGAGACTGGGTGATTTATAAAAGTAAAGAGGTTTAAATGACTCATAGTTCTGCAGGAACCTTGTAATCATGGCAGAAGGTGAAAGGGAAGCAAGGCACGTCTTCACAAGGCAGCAGGAGACAGAGAGTGCAGGGAAACTGCCACTTTGAAGCCGTCAGATCTTGTGAGAACTCCTTCACTGTCACGAGAATAGCATCGGGGAAACCGCCTCCATGAACCAATCACCTCCCACCAGGTCCCTCCCTCAACACATGGGGTTACAATTCTAGGTGAAATGTGGGTGGGAACAGAGAGCCAAACCATTATCAGGCTGTGCCCTGAGGAGAATCAGCAGGGTCTTGAAAGATCGACTCTAGAAAGACCATTGTAGTTTCAAAACACACATGAAAGAAACAAATAATGATGGTAAAAAGGACAAATATAACCTACTATAGTCAATAGAATGCATACAGCAATGAAAATGGGTAAACCATTGCTACATGTATGAGCATGGATGAATTGCCCAAGCATAATATTAAGCAAAAAGGTGAGATGCACAAGAGCATATGCTTTTATGATCCTTTTTACAAAGTTTTAAATTGGCAAAATTAACGCATAGTAACAGAATTCAAGAGAGTGGGTTCCCTTTGGGGTGGGGAAGTTGCTGAGAAAGAGTGGTTAAAGGAGCCTTCTGGGTGCTGGTCTTTTATTTCTTAATCTCAATGGCAGCTACATAGTTACGATCACTTTGTAAAAATTTATTGGCTGGGCAATAAATTCACGCCTGTAATCCCAGCACTTTTGGAGGCCCAGGAGGGTGGATCATTTGAGGTAAGAAGTTTGAGACCAGCCAGGCCAACATAGTGTAACCCCATAAACATAAACATAGTGTAACCTACTAAAAATATAAAAAAAAAAAAATTAGCTGGATGCGGTGGCAGGCACCTGTAATCTCAGTTCCTTGAGAGACAGACAGGTGAATCGCTTGAACCTTGGAGGCAGAGGTTGCAGTGAGCTGAGATTGAGCCACTGTACTCCAGCCTGGGTAACAGAATGAGACTCTATTTCAAAAAAAAAATATATTGAGCTGTATGTTTACAGTTTGTACATTTGTATATATGCTGTATTAGTCCATTTTCTGTTGCTTACAACAAAATATGTGATACCGGGTAAGTTATAAGGAAATTTATTTCTTACAGTTATGGAAGCTGAGAATTCCAAGGTCACAGAGCCACATCCGGTGAGAGCATCCTTGCTGGTGGGAACTGTGTGTAGCATCCTGAGGCTGTATAGGGTGTCACATGGAGAAAGGGCTGAGCATGCTAGCTCAGGTCTTTCTTATAAAGCTATGGATTCCACTCTGGTGATAACCCATTGATTCATTAATCTATGAATGAATTAATCCATTCATGGGGGCAGATCCAATCACTTCTTAAAGCTTCCACCTCTCAAAACTACCGCATTAGGGATTAAGTTTCAACATGAGTTTTGAAGGGGGACATTCAAATCATAACATATGCTATACAACAAATTGCTTCTAGAAAAAGTGAGTGAGTATTGAGGAAGTGAAGGTAGTTAGCTGCTATAGACTGAATATATGTGTCCCTCCCAAAATTCATATGTGAAAGCATTACATTCATTTGTAATGTGGTGGTCTTTGGAGGTAGGGGGCTTTGGTGATTAAGTCATGTGGGCAAAGCCTTTACAAATAGGATTAGTGCCATTATTAAAAAATACTTCCTCATTCCTTCTGCCATGTGAGGACACGGTGAGGGGACAGCTGTCTTTGAATCAGGAAGCAGGCCTCCAACAGAAACACAGTCTGCGAACATACTGATCTTGGATTTCCCAGCCTCCAGGACTAGAAGAAATAAATGTCTACTGTTTAAGCCACCCAGTCTGTGATATTTCATTATAGCAGCTCAAATGGAGTAAGACAGTAGCTTTGTTCATATTAATGTTTCAAGTCATGTAGCAGCTACAGAAAGGAGAAAAAGATTAGTAAACAGAAGCACTGAAATGAAAGAAGGAAACCATTTCAGCATAGAAAAGACTACAGCCAATTTGTAGACAAAGGGGAAAGAGGAAGTCCAAGGCTGTCTGGAACCAGCTAGAAGAAAAGGAATCAGGAACACAGAGGAATTATCCCTGGAAAAGATGAGTAAAGGAATATAAAAAAGTTGAAGGTTTAGGAAATATTTGAAATACAGATTTTATATTAAAGAGCCTGGATCTGCTCTGTGTGTTATTGGACCAAACTAGGGTCTGCCTGCTCAGTGCAGCAAAGCCAAACACGGACATCTGGATTTGCAGCAGCAGAAAGTGAGGCATTTGTTTCAGGGCACCAGGCAAGGGGAATCGAATAGCTCATGGTTAAGACCCAAACTCCCTGATAGCTGACAGATAAGGGTTTATCAAGAAGAGGTTAGGGTTACCCAGGGGGGTGACCTCCTCCAGGACCCCCAGGAAGAAATTTAGAACAAAGAATGGTCAGAGTTCAGTCCCCAGTTTCTCCTTATGAAGTCTGCGTACCAGCTGATTCATTTGGTGGGTGACCGGGTTTCTGAAAAACAACTCAGGGACATATGTTAAGATGTCATTTTAAGTTTCTATAGAGAACCAAAACATCTCATGACTCTAACTTCCTTGGTTGTTGTTTTAAGCAACTATTACCTTCTTGATTATCAAGTTGCTCATTTGCTTCTCATGGTTACCTAGGTGCCTGATATTTTCCCTTGAAGGGACTTAAGATTTTCCTTTATTTCCATTCTTGGGCAGTGTTTTGGGGGTGCAGCAGGCCCCTAAGAGAGGTTTGTGCTCTATCTCACAACTAGAAGGCTAACGGTGTGGGTAGAGCTGTTTCTACCTGATTATTGGAGCAAAGCAAGTTCTTTGACGAAATGGAAAGTCTAGATGAGATAGTTTAAGTTATGGTGAGTGCTCCTTAATGATCGCATGCCTACTTTAAATAAAAACCTGCTTTGAAATATGTTTAAAATGACAAACTCATATTTTACATAAAAACTGGGAAGGGAACATTGAGTGGCTTCTGTTATAACCAGCTATATGAGAAAGGCCTGCACTATTGCCTTTCTGATACATGTTGTACCAATACAAACAATCAACAGACTTTATATGAAAAATTATCCAACAGACAAAGCTTGAAAAGTAAATGAACGCTCACAGTTTTGCACTTGTAAAAGCTGAGATGCTGAGGGGTTGCTATGCCCGTGGAAGGCAGAGTGTCTGGCCAGCTGAGAGCTTGGATGAGAGCTGCCCTAGGCCAGCACCAGCAGCTCAGCTGCCAGCCATGGCCCCACCATCCTCAGTGGGCTCCCCTGTGTTGTGCCCTGGTAGCCAGGTCTGATGGACTAATGGCACCCTGACAGCTGGCATGGCCATAGGCTCTGTGCTGCACACACTGGGTCATGCCATTGCTGGGGGTTTTGGTGGAAGATGTAAATGCTGAGCCCCCAAGGCCTGACATTGTTGACCTGAGCTCTTGGGAGCCCCCGGGATCCCTGCCCATGAACCAACAGCAGAGTGGTCTTTGCCACTATGAGATGAAGGTTTCTGGAGGGACCCAGAGTGACCTTGAGCTTTGTGAGGGTTTTGGTGAGGTGCAGAAGCAGAGCAGGTTTGCAAATGGAGCAGCCTAAGCAGGCAGTTTAAATCGAAGAAATGGGCCAGGCACAGTGGCTCATGCCCATGCCTGTAATCCCAACACTTTGGGAGGCTGAGGTGGATGGATCACTTGAGATCAGGAGTTTAAGACCAGTCTGGACAACATGAGGAAACCTCGTCTCTACTAAAAGTAGAAAAGTTAGCCAGGTGTGCTGGCACTTGTCTATAATCCCAGCTACTCAGGAGGCTGAGGCAGGAATAATCGCTTGAAACCAGGAGGCGGAGGTTGCAGTGAGCTGAGATCCTGCCACTGCACTCCAGCCTGGGTGACAGAGCAAGACTTTGTCTCTTAAATAAATAAATAGAATTGAATTGAAATGAAAAATTGGCTGTCATGACCAAGTTAATTTAGCACACAATTAAAATTGATAGTGAAATGATAAAGTGCAATGCCTCGAGGTAAGCCTCTCTTTCGCCATTAGTAGCTTTTCACAATAGCAGAAGGGTGTTTTTGCTGGGGAGGAGTCCATTGAGATGGTAAGGAGTTTGGGATGGGCTGAATGTTTGTATGGCATCCTTAGAGGGGTTTTTATGATGTTAATTGTTTGTGAATTAATGAGAATAAAGTGATCTTCCAAAAAATTAAACAAACGTATACATACCCTAATAAATATAGATTATTTAAAAGTGTACATAATTAACTAGAATAGAATTCCTATCCCCAGTGAATGATCAGATATTTTGCTATTTGTAGTAAAAACTAGAAACTCCTATGGAAATGAGATCATATAGGCAACTGTATTTTATTTGATGTTACTTTTCCTGCCCTTACAATTTTTGGTTTCTCTTTTGGCATTCTGGCATCTTCTTCTCTCTCTCTTTCTCTCTCTCTCCTTTTCCCTCTCTCTCTCCCTCCTCTCTCTCTCTCTTTTTTTGAGACAGAGTTTCACTCTGTTGCCCTGGCTGTAGTGCAGTGGCATGATCTCAGTTCAGCTCCCTACGACCTCTCCCTCCCAGGCTCAAGTGATTCTCCTGCCTTAGCCTCCAGAGTAGCTGGGACTACAGGCACATGCCACCATGAATGACTAATTTTTGTAATTTTAGTAGAAACAGGGTTTTGCCATGTTGCCCAGGCTGGTCTTGAACTCTTAACTTCAAATTATCCTCCCCCCTTGGCCTCCCAAAGTGCTGGGATTACTTACAGGTGTAAGCCACTGTGCCCCGCCTCTCTTCTGAAGTCTTGTTAATATGATTATTGATTGGCAGTGTGTTGCCGTCAACTAATATGGTTTAATGTACACCTTGTAAGAAAACAATTCAAAATCAGTGAGTTTAGATACTTGAGATCATACTGAAAATTTCTGTCAAATAATTTTAACTATTCATTGAGCTTTACTTACCAAGCTCTGCTCTGGACGGTATGAGGAATCAAAAATAGTTGCTCCTGACACTCTTCAGAATTGTACACATAAAGCAAGGGCTACAAGGTGCACATCTGCACATTTATTAATTCATTTTCTCATTCACATGTATATCAAATCACTCAGCAACTACTTAATTGGAAAAGTTGTCCTTGGTTGGAGAGCCAATGATGAATATGACACAGCTCCTGTCCTTGAGGAATTTACGGCT